CACTCCAGCAGTGGAAGGCAGGAGCACTGCTTTGTTACTGCCAGATTGGGGTTAATGTTCTTTTTAAAAAATTTTATAGGCCGGGTGCAGTGGCTCAAGCCTGTAATCCCAGCACTTTGGGAGGCTGAGGCGAGTGGATCACAAAGGAGACCGAGACCATCCTGGCTAACTCGGTGAAACCCCGTCTCTACTAAAAATACAAAAAATTAGCCTGGCGTGGTGGCGGGCGCCTGTAGTCTCAGCTACTCGGGAGGCCGAGGCAGGAGAATGGCGTGAACCCGGGAGGCGGAGCTTGCAGTGAGCCAAGATCCCGCCACTGCACTTTAGCCTGGGCGACAGAGCGAGACTCCGTCTCAAAAAAAAAAATTTGTAGGCTTGGCATGGTGGCTCAGGCCTGTAATCTCAGCACTTTGGGAGGCCGAGGCAGGCAGATCACGAGGTCAGGAGATCGAGACCATCCTGGCTAACATGGCGAAAGCCCGTCTCTACTAAAAATACAAAAAATTAGCTGGGCCTGGTGGTGTGTGCCTGTAGTCCCAGCTGCTCGGGAGACTGAGACAGGAGAAGGGGGTAAACCCAGGAGGCAGAGCTTGCAGTGGACTGAGATCCGCCACTGCACTCCAGCTTGGGCGACAGAGCTAGACTCCATCTCAAAAAAAAAAAGATTATTTTATTTATTTTATGTTATTTTTATTTTATTTTACTTTATGTTATTTTATGTTGTATGTTATTTTATGTTATGTTATTTTATTTTGTTTTATTTTTTGTTGTGTTATTTTATGTTATTTTGTTATTTTGTTGTTATTGTATGTTATTTTATGTTATTGTATTTTATATTTTGTTGTTAGTTTATGTTATTTTATGTTATGTTATGTTATGTTTGAGATGGAGTTTTGCTCTTGTTGCCCAGGCTGGAGTGCAATGGTGCAATCTGGGCTCATCGCAACCTCCGCCTCCAGGTTCATGCCATTCTCCTGCCTCAGTCCCCGTAGTAGCTGAGATTACAGGTGTGCACCACCATGCCCGGCTAATTTTTTGTTTGAGACGGAGTCTTGCTCTGTCGCCAGGCTGGAGTGCAGTAGCACGATCTCAGCTCACTGCAACTTCCGTCTCCTGGGATCAAGTGATTTCCCTGCCTCAGCCTCCCAAGTAGCTGGGATTACAAGGCACGTACCACCAGGCCTGGCTAATTTTTTGTGTTTTAGTAGAGATGGTGTTTCACCATGTTGGCTGAGATGGTCTCGATCTCCTGACCTCGTGATCCGCCCGCCTTAGCCTCCCAAAGTGCTGGGATTACAGGCATGAGCCACCATGCCCAGCCAGATTAGGGTTAATATTCTTTCTGGGCCGGGCATGGTGGCTCATGCCTGTAATCCCAGCACTTTGGGAGGCCAAGGGGGGGTGGATCACAAGGTCAGGAGATCAAGACCATCCTGGCCAACATGGTGAAACCCAGTGTCTACTAAAAATACAAAAAATTAGCTGGGTGTGGTTGTGGGTGCCTGTAATCCCAGCTACTCAGGAGGCTGAGGCAGGAAAATCGTCTGAACTCAGGGGGCGGAGGTTGCAGTGAGCCAAGATCAGTGCCATTGCACTCCAGCCTGGGTCACAGGGCAAGACTCCGTCTCAAAAAAAAAAAAAAAGTTCTTTCTGGTTCCCCACTTAGCTTCTCTTGACACCCAAGGTGCCAGGGTTATGCAGAGGTTGGAATTCTGACTCTCCACTAGGACTCTATTGATAACTTCCCTAGCTGAAAGGCGTATGGGTATGTCATTTCTGCTTCCCAGTTGGCCTCTACTGACACCATGTTGGGAGGAGGTGGCCTCATTAATGTTGGGCAGTTGTGGAAGTCCTGACTTTCCACTAGACTTCCTGTAGAGAACTTCATCACTGCTTGCTTCACAGATGGTATCTACTGACATCATGGTGGGGGATAGTTCTTACCACCCAGCAGGAATAAAAATCCTTGGTCTCTACACAGACACCTCCCCTGTGGGCAGATTGGGGGAAGTAATTATAGCCTGGCAGGGGTAGAAATCTAGGCCCCTATTGGCATTTGCTGGCATGGGTGAGGCTGCAGTTTTTTCTGTCATGTTTGGCTGAAGTAGAGCAGTTACTATCTACTAGCTGTTTGCTGTCTTACTAGTTGCTCCTTTCCTGGTACATTGGCTAGAGTGAGTAGATTTTGGGGGAACTTTTTTGTCTGTGCCCATTGACGTTTCCAGGCTGCTGGCTCCTTCAACTTTAGATCTGGGATATATGACCAGAAAAAACCCAGGAACTTTACTGCGTCGTTCCATGGGTCCCAAGGTCCCTAGCTGATCTGCTTTCATCTCTTCACCCTTCAGAGTGATCAAGCTCCAGCTCACCTTCAGCCTCATTTCTTCTCTCCCATTTGCATGCTTATATCCCCAGAAATGCACCGCCTCTTATGGCTCTAGTTGTTTATGTTCAAGCAATATAGAAAGAACTACTTGCCATTGCCATTTCCTAACCCTGTGATATGCTTTCACATCTTTAAGACTTTGCTTATGTTGTATATATTCTTTCTTTAATATACCTAACCTTCTTTCTCTCTCTCTCTTTTTTTTTTTTTTTTTTTTTTTGAGATGGAGTCTCACTGTGTCGCCCAGGCTGGAGTGCAGTGGCACAATCTCGGCTCACTGCAGCCTCCACCTCCCAAGTTCATAGTGATTCTCTGCCTCAGCCTCCCAAGTAGCTGTTATTACAGGCGTGCACCACCACAACTGTTTAATGTTTGCGTTTTTAGTAGAAATGAAGTTTTGTCATGTTAACTAGACTGGTCTCGAATTCGTGGCCTCATGTGATCCATCCGCATCGGCCTCCTAAAATGCTGGGATTACAGGCATGAGCCACTGCACCTGGCCTCCTAACCGTCTTTCTCTATCTTTGAATTCTTCCAGCATCTTCAAAGGCCTTACTCAAAGATCACCTCTCCCATCAAATCTTTTCCAGATCTCCATTCGTGATGGTTTACTTCCTTTTCTTTGTTTTTGTGGTACTTATACTTGACATTGGTATACCAAATATCTCATTTTGTTATGGCTGTTTGTGTCTTTTTTACTCCATGGGATTATGAATCCTTTGATTATAGGGGCATATCTTATTTTTCTCTGTATCTACAACATTTAGGATACTTGACATATAGTAATTGTTTAATAAACTATTTGCTGAATGGACCCCACCATGAAATTTACTCCCCTGAAATAGAGTTCAGGTACTTTGAAGGGCTGTCTCTAGAACCACAGTGTTTAATAGAAATGTAATTTTAAGTTTACCAGTGGCCACATACAAAAACAAAAATAAAAAGAAACAAGTGAAACTAGTTTTAGTTATTTTTATTTAACCCAATATATTAAAAAATGATCATTTCAACCTGTAGTCAATATAAAAAATTGAGATACTTTACATTATTTTGTTGTATTAAATCTTCACAATCTGGTGTATATTTTATACTTGTAGCTGACCTCACATTGTACCACCTGCTTTTCAAGTGCTCTCCAGCTGTATGTAGCTAGTGACTATGTATTGGACAGCGCAGCTCTAAAATATAATGGAGTTCTTAATATGTAATTAGTCATTTTTGTCTACTTGGGCAAGTTTTGCAAAGGCCTTTCTTGATTTTAACTGTGTAACTGTAATTAAGTCTGCAAAATTCATTAGAGAGTAGTGCTCCCGTTTAAACATACCTCAGTTCTAATTTAAGGATGACTGGCTGGCAGCCTAGCTACATTTTGAGTATGGGCCAGCTAAGGTGCCACCTTAGAGTTCCTCTCTTGACTTCAGGCTATTTATTTACCTGTCCTCAATTGCTCGTTCACCCCAGACTGTTCTTAGACTACCTTTGTTTGGCATGATTGTTACTTCTTTCACAGTCAAGTGTTGTTTAGTTTATATGTGATATTGTTGATGTGGCTCCAAAGTATCATATGCTTGTGACACTGTGGTAGACAGGTATATCTCAAAAGCACTTCGAGGAGGTTACTGGGTCGACTTCATTTACATTCATCTGCCAGGGAGGGGCTATAACTACTAGTTGTTGTTTTTTTTTTTTTTTTTAAGAGACAGGGTCTCACTCTGTCACCCAGGCTGGAGTGCAGTGGTGTGATCACAACTCACTATAACCATGAACTCCTGGGCTCAAGTGATCCTTCCATTCTCAGCCTCCCTAGTAGCTGGGACTATAGGCATGCACCACTATGCCCAACTCGTTTTCAGTTATTTTGTAGAGATGGGGTCTCGCTGTGTTTCCCAGGCCTAGACCACTTTAATAAGGTTTGAGATCTGGCTAGTGGTTTATTAATGAATTACAAGGGATTAAGTGCATGCTAAATATATTATATGTATATATATTTGTTTGTATAATAATATGTTAAGGGAATTTAAAGGATAGGCTAGAAATGTATTGGTAACAAATCAAATACCTTAACACAAGGTTTACACCTCACTTGTGGTACATAACTCTGCAAGTCCATAGAGAATTCTGCTTCGTGGTTACCCTAGGGTCCAAACTGATGGAGGGTTCCTCCTCATAAAACTATGCTCTCTAGAACGTGAAGGCTCCTCATTTGTCATAGCAGGAAGAGACAGCATGGAAAATCATGCACTGGCTCTCAGGTGCTTCAGCATACAGTCCATTGGCCAGAACTAGGCACATGGCTCCAGCTAACTCCAGGGATGGGCTGGGAAATGTAATTGTCTGTCTGGTAAGGTAAGAACCAGATGTTAGTGGATATCAGTAATGTCTGCCACAGTCCTGACTCTGCCACTTGCTGGCCCTGTGATCTTGGAAAGCCACTCTCTGAGCCCCAGTTTACTCATCTACAGGTTGTAAACAATAATATTCTCACCTAAATGAATTGTGATTATCAGACAAGATACTGTTACATGGGAGCACTTTGGAAATGTAAAGTGTGATGGAAATTTTAGCTATTCTTTAGCTGTTTTTTGAAGTTAAAGTGCTGCTTGTTTTTCCACAGGTCTACTGAATGATGGAACTGTGGGTATTTTTAGGGGCAACCAGATGCGCTTAAAGCGAGCCTGCATTCGCAAAGCAAAGATTTCTGCTGTTGCTTTCCGGAAAGCCTTCTGCCATCACAAGTTAGTGGAACTTGATGCCACAGGTGTGAATGCTGATATCACGATTACAGACATTATCAGTGGACTTGGCAGTAACAAATGGATCCAGCAGAATCTCCAGTGCCTGGTGCTGAATTCATTAACTCTCTCCCTCGAGGATCCTTACGAGCGGTGCTTTAGCCGGCTTTCTGGCCTTCGAGCTTTAAGCATCACCAATGTTCTCTTCTACAATGAAGACCTGGCTGAAGTTGCCTCGTTGCCAAGATTAGAGAGCTTGGATATTTCTAACACCTCGATCACAGACATCACTGCTCTACTGGCCTGCAAAGACCGACTCAAGTCTCTAACCATGCACCACTTGAAATGTTTAAAAATGACAACCACCCAGATACTGGATGTAGTTCGGGAACTCAAACATCTGAATCATCTTGATATCTCAGATGATAAACAGTTTACATCAGACATAGCTCTTCGCTTACTGGAACAAAAAGACATCCTACCCAACCTTGTTTCTCTGGATGTTTCTGGGAGAAAGCATGTGACAGATAAAGCTGTTGAAGCCTTTATACAACAACGTCCAAGCATGCAGTTTGTAGGTTTGCTGGCTACTGATGCTGGTTACTCTGAATTCCTCACAGGCGAAGGACATTTGAAGGTTAGACTTTAAAAATATATTATTCTGTCAGGCTGACCAATATCTTAGTTGCATAAGACTGTGTTAAAGATGAATGTCTATAATATATGGAACATGTTCATGAAACAGGGCCTCATATAGTTGAAAGGTTTAGAGTCCTAATTAAAATTTCAGCTTCATGACCCAGAACAAGCTATGATGTCACTTCGAGTTTTTATTTCCTTATTTGTAGAATACATGGTATTCTTACCTTGCAGAATTCTGAAGATTAATGATAATCTATGTAAAGTGCAAGTCACATAGTAGGTCCTGGATAAACAATAGGTTGTCTTATGATGATAATGTTTAGATATTTTGAACCATTTACATACACTGTTTTTTTTTGTTTTTTTTGTCTTTTGAGACAGAGTCTCACTCTGCCGCCAAGGCTGGAGTGCAGTGGTGCCATCTCGGCTCACTGCAAGCTCTGCCTCCCGGGTTCACACCATTCTCCTGCCTCAGCCCCCCGAGTAGCTGGGACTACAGGTGCCTGCCACCACACCCGGCTAATTTTTTGTATTTTTAGTAGAGACAGGGTTTCACTGTGTTAGCCAGGATGGTCTTGATCTCCTGACCTTGTGATCTGCCCGCCTTGGCCTCCCAAAGTGCTGGGATTACAGGCGTGAGCCACTGCGCCAAGCTACATATACTGTTTTTAATGGATAACTTCGGAGAAACTGGGGACACCCCTTGTTGAATTGAATACCTAGTGGGAGATCAAGTATTCTAAGGAGATCTCTGCTGTAGAAATGGTAGAATTTTGCTTTTCCTAAGATTTCTCATGCCTAATGGTTTAAATTTAGTTTAACAAACATCAGTTGGATTTGATAGAGCTTGGGATTCAAAAATGAAAATGAGGCTGGGTGTGGTGGCTCACACCTGTAATCCCAACACTTTGGGAGGCAGAGGTGGGCAGGTCACTTGAGGTCAAGAGTTCGATACCAGCTTGGCCAACATGGTGAAACCCCATCTCTACTAAAAATACAAAAATTAGCCAGGCATGGTGGCATGTGCCTATAGTCCCAGCTACACGGGAGCCTGAGGCAGGAGAATCTCTTGAACCCAGGAGGCGGAAGTTGCAGAGAGCCAAGATTGTGCCACTGCACTCAAGCCTGGGTGATAGAGTGAGACTCCGTCTCAAAAAAAAAAAAAGGAAAAGAAAATGATACAGGATCTGCCTCCAAGTAGCTTAACCTAATGGGAGTGGTGATTATATTATTACAAATACATTTTTATATTTATACCTATTTACTTATATACTTTTATAGATATATGCTTTAAACCATAATTACTTTTTTTTTTTTTTTTTTTTTTTTGGGAGATGGAATCTCGCTCTGTCACCCAGGCTGGAGTGTAATGGCATGATCTTGGCTCACTGCAACCTCTGCCTCCCAGGTTCAAGTGATTCTCCTGCCTCAGCCTCCCAAGTAGCTGGGACTACAGGCACACACTGCCACACCCGGCTAAGTTTTTGTATTTTAGGAGAGACAGGGTTTCACCATGTTGCCAAGGCTAGTCTCAAACTCCTGAGCTTCCAAAGTGCTAGGTTTATAGGCATGAGCCACCACTCCCGACCTGGTTTCTCTGAGAAATTGATGAATGAGTGGAGATCTTAAGGGTGAATAGCTCAGTAGACAGTATTCCCAGCAGACAGAATAATATGTGCAAAGACTGTGTTAGGAAGAGAGGTGAGACCCAGGCATCACTATTTTTTAAAGCTTCAAGATGACTGCAGTGTCCAGCCAAACTCATGAATCACTGTTTTAAAATAACTTTTTTTTTTTTTTTTTCAGAGGCAGGGTCTCGCCCTGTTACCCAGGCTGGAGTACAGTGGCATGAACAAGCTCATGCAGCCGCTACCTGCTGGGCTTGAGTGGATCCTCCTGGCTTAGCCTCCTGAGTAGCTGGGACCACAAGCAAGTGCCACCATAACTGGCTATTTTTTTTTTTTTTTTTTTTTTTGACATGGAGTCTTGCTCTGTCACCCAGGCTGGAGTGCAGTGGCGCGATCTCAGCTCACAGCAACCTCCACCTCCTGGGTTTCAGCGAATTTCCTGCCTCAGCCTCCTGAGTGGCTGGGATTACAGGTGCCTGCTACCATGTCCAGTTGATTTTTGTATTTTTGGTAGAGATGGGGTTTCACCATGTTAGCCGGGCTGGTCTTGAACTTCTGACTTAGGTGATCTGCCTGCTTTGGCCTCCCAAAGTGCTGGGATTACAGGCGTGAGCCACCACACCTGGCCTATTTTTTTTTTTTTTTTTTTTTTAGTGTTTTTGTAAAGATGGGTTCTCGCTCAGTGATCCTCCCACCTTGGCCTCCCACTTTTGGGATTACAGGTGTAAGCCCCTGAGCCTAGCCTGACTTTCTTACCATAGAATTTCCAGCTCTGTCATCAGTATTTCCGCACTCGATTTTCTTTTCTCACTATTTCCCTACTCAGTTTTCTCATCTGTCACCATCAGTTTCCTGAACCTTCCATTTCTCCACAACTAGAATTCTTATATTTGTTGGCCACCTAATCCACTTGGATTATCTCCCAAGCTGTGGCTCCCAACTCATGAGAACATCAAAAATCTGCTAAACCCAATGTTAGTTCTTAGTCTTCATTGTATTTGACCCAAAGTAAAATGGTATTTGTCACAGTTGATCTTTCCCTCTTCCCTGAGATACCTTTAAAAAAAAAAAAAACAAACAAAAAAAACAACTTAGCTTCCTGGGTATCATACTTGCTTGTTTTTTTTTTCCTACTTGTCTTGCTACTGAGCCTCAATTTCCTTTGTTGGTTCTTCCTCATCTTCCAGGCCTCTGACTGTTGGAGTGTTCTGTACCTCAGTCCTTAAATCTATATGCAATGACTCCTAAATTTGTGTCTTAACTTAGATCTCTCCCTTGAAGTCAGACTGCTGTATTGAAAAACTGCAGTAATCAACATGCAGTGAAGGTACATAATTATTTTTTGGCCAGGCATAGTGGCTCATGCCTTTAATCCCAGCACTTTGAGAGGCCAAGGTGGGAGGATTGCTTGAGCTCAGGAGTTTGAGACCAGCCTGAGCAACATAGTGAGACCCCATCTGACACCTGTAACCCCAGCACTTTGGGAAGCCAAGGCAGGCGGAGCACCTGAGATTGGGAGTTGGAGACCAGCCTGACCAACATGGAGAAACCCAGTCTCTACTAAAAATCCAAAAAAATTAGCTGGGCGTGGTGGTGCATGCCTGTAATCCCAGCTACTTGGGAAGCTGAGGCAGGAGAATCTCTTGAACCCGGGAGGTGGAGGTTGTGGTGAGCTGAGATCGTGCCATTGATTTCCTGCCTGAACAACAAGGGCGAAACTCTGTCTAAAAAAAAAAAAAAAACATACATCTATATGCAATAAAATTGGCTCAGAGCACGCCTATAATCCCAGCACTTTGGGAGGCCAAGGCGTGCGGATCACTTGAGGCCAAGAGTTGGAGAGCAGCCTAGCCAACATGGTGAAACCCCGCCTCTACTAAAAATACAAAAAAATTTAGCCAGGCGTGGTGGCAGACGCCTGTTGTCCCAGCTACTTAGGAGGCTGAGGCAGGAGAATCATTTGAACCCAGGAAGTGGAGGTTGCAGTGGGCCGAGATTGTGCCACTGCACTCCACCCTGGACAATAGAGAGAGACTGTGTCTCAAAAAAAAAAAAAAAAAAGCAATTGACTTAGAGTGTTTAACATTCTTCCAGTAACAAAAGTTCTTTAATTTTATATTCAAGGTAACTTGAGAATATATTTCACTTAAGAGATTTATAAAGTTGTTGGAACCAACCAAATGTGGGTAAAGGAAGAATAAAGTCTGATTTAGATTATTTTATATTTCCCTCTTACAGTTTTTTCTCATTTCACATTTCAGTGTTTTTTTCTGAATTTATAAGAAAAAGTTCTGGGTGATTCAATGAACTGAACACTTTGAAAAATTTTATTAAATACCCATTTGTATATGTGAATATGTAGTCCAAACCAGTTTGTGTAAATATGTTATACATGAATAGAAAGTTTAAAAAGCATTTAAAGAAGTAAAGTAATGGAGGCCAGGCGTGGTGGCTCATGCCTGTAATCCCAGAACTTTAGGAGGCCAAGGTCAGCTGATCACTTGAGGTCAGGAGTTTGAGAGCAGCCTGGCCAACGTGGCGAAATCCCGTCTCTACTAAAAGTACAAAAATTAGCCGGACGTGGTGGCAGGTGCCTGTAATCCCAGTTACTCGGGAGGCTGAGGCATGACAATTGCCTGAACCCGGGAAGTAGAGGTTGCAGTGAGCTGAGATCCTGCCGCTGCACTCCAGTCCGGGCGACAGAGCGAGACCGTGTCTCAAAAAAAGGGAAAAAGGGCTGGGCGCGGTGGCTCACGCCTGTAATCCCAGCACTTTGGGAGGCCGAGGCGGGCGGATCACGAGGACAGGAGATCGAGACCATCCTGGCTAACACGGTGAAACCCCGTCTCTACTAAAAATACAAAAAAATTAGCCGGGCGTAGTGGTGGGCGCCTGCAGTCCCAGCTACTCAGGAGGCTGAGGCAGGAGAATGGCGTGAATCCCGGAGGCGGAGCTTGCAGTGAGCCGAGATTGCGCCACTGCACTCCAACCTGGGCGACAGAGCGAGACTCTGTCCCCCCCAAAAAAAAAAAAAAAGAAAAGACATAAAGTAATGGAAGTAAAGAAACTTTTATTATTATTTCAACAATCTTAGAAATTCTTAATATGTGCCGTTGCGTCATGTGACATATATCAATACTGTAGTCTAATTCATTTCAGACTCTTGTAGCGTATCCTATTAATGGTTGAAATGTCAGCCATGATACATCCCTTCATTTCCTGAAAGCTGCATATTCCAATGTGAGTATTATAGGCTTTTTTGTTTTTTGATAATCAAGAGTCTCACTCTTGCCCATGGTGGAGTGCTGTGGCACAGTCATGACTTACTGCAGCCTCAAATTCCTGGGCTCAAGCAGTCCACTTCAGTCTCCCAAGTAGCTGGGATTACAGGCATGCACCGTCACACGCAACTAATTTTTCTTTTCTTTTATAGAGACAGGGTATTACTATGTTCCCCAGGCTGGTTTTGAACTCCTGGGCTCAAGTGATCCTCCTGCCTCTACCTCCCAAAGTGCTGGGATTACAGGCATGAGCCATCTTGCCTGGCTGAATATTATATGTTTATATAAAACTTTGTTACTGAGTAATATATTTTTAAAATATTTGATTACTTTTGTGTCACACTGTATAATGTTACTGCCAAAAAAGACTAAATCTTCCCCTTATTGTGAGATAGTCTCTCTGAATGACATTTTTTGGCATTTTTTAAAACTTTATTGTAAAATAAAACAGAGACAAAGACGATAAATAATTATGTAGCTTAAGTTGAAATAAAAGTGGACACACTTGAAACCGTCACTCAGGTTAAGTAACAGAACTTTGTCAGCTACCCCAAAACTCACTTCGGCTTCCCAAAGTGGTGGGATTACAGGTGTGAGCCCTACACCCGGCCATGTCCTTTCATTTCTTCATAATTTTATGACCCAACTATTTAGGCACTTGGATAATCTTGCCCATTTAAAACAATTTGATGTCTTTTGAGTGTCTTTTAGTTTGTAGGTTCCTCCTCCATCCATTTCTTTTCCTTATAATTTGTTTATTGAAGAATCTATCGTTATGATTTGTAGAGTTTCCCTAAGTCTGGATTTTATTGTATTTGTTGCTGTTTTGTAGAGACAGGGTCTTGCTTTGTTGCCCAGGCTGGTCTGGAACTCCTGGGCTTAAAGTGATCCTCCTGCCTCAGCCTCCGAAAATGCTGGGATTACAGATATAAGCCACTCTGCCAGCCTGGATTTTGCTGATTGTATACTAATGGTGCATCTTTCTCTTATTTTCTGTAAATTGGTAGCTGGATTTGGAGGCTTAATTAGACTTCGTTTTATCCCTTTGGCAAGACCCTTAGGTGTTGTATTCTTACATTATGAGGTACATAAATATCTAGTTGTTTGTCTTTCTGTGATGTTAGCAGTTATTGACACTTAGTAGCTAGATCTGTCAACTCACTCAGAATTATGGTGATATTTTAATCATTTATTTTTCTTTTACTAGTTGGATTACTGTTATAAAGAGCCACTTTCTGTTACCTATATTTGGTTGCCCAGTGGCACATGAACCACATTTTAAGATAAGTATATTATCTTAAAATAATATACTTTTGGGCCGGGCGTGGTGGCTCACACCTGTAATCCCAGCACTTTGGGAGGCTGAGGCAGGTGGATCATGAGTTCAGGAGATCGAGACCATCCTGGCCAACACGGTGAAACCCCCTGTCTCTACTAAAAATACAAAAAGTTAGCCGGGCGTGATGGCGGGCGCCTGTAGTCCCAGCTATTCAGGAGGCTGAGGCGGGAGAATGGTGTGAACCCGGGAGGCAGAGCTTGCAGTGAGCTGAGATCGAGCCACTGCACTGCAGCCTGACCAACAGAGCAAGACTCCATCTCAAAAAAATAAAAATAAAATAAAATAAAATAATATACTTTTATGTTAGGAATCCCTAGAAAGACTTAAGTTTAAACAGAACCTCTTGGTGCTGAAAAGGAGCATGATAAATCTGGAGAAATTAATGGATACATTTATTTGATGAATACTTATGGAGTACGTATTCTGAGCCAAGCATAATGCTAGCTATTGGGGTACAATGGTGAATAGATCAATCCAGTGGGGAATTATGATAGCTATGAAAGAGATGTTTCAGGGGACCTAATTTAAATCAGTGGCTCAAAAAGACTTCTCTAAGAAAGTGTCCTTAACTTGAATAAGGAAGAATGAGTAGAAATTAGTCAGGCAAAGAGAGAAAGGAAGTTTTCAGTCAGAGAGGACATTGTATGAGTGGTGTTTTACTGAGAAAAAGCTTGACTTACGGAAAGATGAGGAAAAAAGGGGTATATAGCTAAAACATTGTGAGCTAGGGGGAGAGGAGTAAGAGGCAGATAGGATCCTCATCAAGTGGTAGGGCCTTATAAATAATGTTAAATATCTTGGGATTTATTTTAGGTATAATACAGAAAATTTCACCCATGGTCTTATGCTAGGTTCTGAGTTTATCTAATATACATCTCTTCAAGACAAATACACCTTTTTAAGATGACTAATCTGGATAGATTGGAAAGTATAATCATTTTTATTTGATTCCAGCTTTACATAACTATCCTAGATGCCATGTATACAAATTATATTTATTTATTTATTTAGAGACAGAGTCTTGCTGTGTTGCCCAGGCTGGAGTGCAGTGGTACGATCTCAGCTCACTGTAACCTCCGCCTTCTCGGTTCAAGCAATTCTTCTGCGTCAGCCTCCTGAGTAGCTGCGATTACAGGCGTGCGCCACCACGCTTGGCTAACTTTTTTATTTTTAGTAGAGATGGGGTTTCACCATGTTGGCTAGGGTGGTTTCGAACTCCTGACTTCACATGATCCACCCACCTTGGCCTCCCAAAGTACTGGGATTACAGGCATGAGCCACCACACCTGGCCACAAATGATATTTAGATAGAGAAAGAGAGAGAATTCTAAAAGCTAATCTGGTTATGTTCACAGGTGTCTGGAGAAGCCAATGAAACTCAGATTGCAGAAGCACTGAAGCGTTACAGTGAACGGGCATTCTTTGTTCGGGAAGCTCTATTTCATCTTTTTAGTCTGACTCATGTGATGGAAAAAACAAAGCCAGAAATTTTAAAGGTAAGAATAAGAAACTGGATATGAAATTTTTGAAATGATCTCCCTGGGCAGATGATTTTTTGAAGAAAATTGGTGAAAATTTGCATTTAGGGCCAGGCACAGTGGCTCAAGCCTGTAATCCCAGCACTTTGGGAGGCCGAGACGGGTGGATCACGAGGTCAGGAGATCGAGACCATCCTGGCTAACACGGTGAAACTCCGTCTCTACTAAAAAATACAAAAAAAAAAACTAGCCGGGCGAGGTGGCGGGCGCCTGTAGTCCCAGCTACTTGGAAGGCTGAGGCAGGAGAATGGTGTAAACCCGGGAGGTGGAGCTTGCAGTGAGCTGAGATCCGGCCACTGCACTCCAGCCTGGGCGACAGAGCAAGACTCTGTCTCAAAAAAAAAAAAAAAAGAAAATTTGCATTTAGTCTTTTTTTATTATTTATGATATGATTGATGACGTGTGATTTCAATTATTAGCCACAAACGAGAGAGAATATAGTTGTACAATGTTATTGAAGTTTTATAGTAGTCTCATTAAGCATATAAATGTCTTGTACTTATTTATCTACCTAAAACCAGTGACCACCATGATATTTTGTCACCAGCTACTGTAGAAAATGAAAGTATATGACACTGTTTTGTATATTAACCCTATGTTGTTTCCCAAATAGATTTTTTTAGAAATACAATATTGGGCCAGGTGTGGTAGTTGATGCCTGTAATCCTAGCACTTCAGGAGGCTGAGACAGATGGGTAGCTTGAGCCCTAGAGTTTGAGACCAGCCTGAGCAACATGGCAAAACCCCATTTCTACAAAAAGTATTAAAAAATACAAAAAAAGAAAGAGAGAAATAAAGCAAGCAGATATCAGAATTCTACAAGGCACTTTTTCATGCTGTTTAGAACCTACTGTGCATTCTTAACTGATTTACATTACTCCCCAATTAAGTTAAAAAAAATTTTTTTTTTAAGTCATAGGGTCTTACTGTGTTCCCCAGGCAAGAGTGCAATGGCTGTTCACAGACCTCAAACTCCTGGGCTCAAGCAATCCTGTCTCAGCCTCCCAAGTAGCTAGGACTACAGGTGTACATCACAGCACCCAGCTATTTTAACCAAGACAGCTTTTGAAGGGCAAGAAAGGAGATTTCTTAATTTTATTGAATGCTTAGGGCAACATTTATCAAAATGTGGTCCTTTGGGCCAGGACACAGTGGCTCACACCTATAATAACTTTGGGAAGCTGAGGCAGGCAGGTCACCTGGGGCCAGGAGTTCTAGACCAGCGTGACCAACATGGCGAAACGCCATCTCTACTAAAAATACAAAAAATTAGCCGAGTGTGGTAGTGCACGCCAGTAATCCCAGCTACTCAGGAGACTGAGGCATGAGGAACCTGGGAGGCCGAGGTTACAGTGAGCCGAGATCATGCCACTGCACTCCAGCCTGAGCAACAGAGCAAGACTCTCTCTCAAAAAAAAAAAAAAAAAAAAGTGGTCCTTTGACCACTACAAGTCTAGGATATTGCTTATTTAAAAAGCATATTTGTGACCAGGCGTGGTGGCTCACACTTGTAATCCCAGTACTTTGGGAAACCAACGCAGGCAGATCACTTGAGCTCAGGAGTTCAAGACCAGCCTGGGCAACATGGCAAAACCTTATCTCTACAAAAATTAGTCAGGTGTGGTGGCACACACCTGTAGTGCCAGCTACGTGGGACACTGAGGCGGGAGAGTTGCTCGAGCCTGGGAGGCAGAGGTTGCAGCGAGCCGAGATCATGCTACCACACTCCAACCTGGGTGACAGGAGTGAAACTTTGTCTGAAAAAAAAAAAAAAAAAGGTATTTGTAAACCCCACCCCCCAAAATTTAGATTCAGTAGGGCTAGATGAGGCACAGGAATCTGCATTTTAATAAGCCCCCAAGATAATTCCAAGGTAATTCTTATGCACATTCAGTTTTGAAAACCAATGAGCATAGGACTATATTATATTTGGCACCTGGTTTAGTGGGCACAATTCCAAGAGATGGGTTTTATCTTCTGTTTTACAGATTATGAAATTGAGGTTCTGTGACATTAAGTAATAATAAGTCAGTGGCAGAGCCACAACTTGACATCCTACATACCTTAAATTCTGAGAATGAGGTGCTTGGGTAGGAACCAGTAACATTTTAGTCCTTAGGATATTATCACCAACACCTGTCACTCCTTTTATATATATCAGAGGATGTTGGCGCTACGTATATGAATTGTCTTTTTTTTTTTTGGTTTTGATTACTGTGAACCGAGCAACAAAGGACTAGATCTCTAGTCTTGATCTGAAATATTCATTCAGACATTCAGAGAATGATTCGGAGATAAATGAAAGAATATAGGCTATTTATTTATTTATTTATTTATTGAGGTCACCCATGCTGGAGTGCAGTGGCATGATCATGGTTCACTGCAGCCTTGACCTCCCTCCCAGGCTCAAATGATCCCCCTGCCTCAGCCTCCAGAGTGGCTGGAACTACAAGCGTATAACACCATGCCTGGCTGAATTTTAAAATTTGTTATTATTATTGTTTGTTTTTTTTTTTGTAGTGATGGAGACCCACTATGTTGCCCAGGCTGGTCTCAAATTCCTGGGCTCAAGTGATTCTCCCGCCTTGGCCCCCCAGAGTGTTGGGATTATAGGAGTGAGCCACTTTTATTTTATTTTTTTAAAGATACAGGATCTAGCTGTATTGCCCAGGCTGGAGTGCAGTGGTGCACGATCATAGCTCACTGCAACCTCAAACTCTTGAGCTCAAGCAATCTTCTGCCTCAGCCTCCTAAATGTCTGGGACTATAGCTGTGTGCCATCACACCTGGCTAATTTTTAAAATTTTTAAAAATAAATTAATTTATTAGGCTCCAGCAATCCTCCTGCCTAAGCCTCCCGAGTAGCTAGGACTACAGGCCCATGCAACCACACCCAGCTAATTTTGCAGAGACAGGGTCACACTATGTTGCACAAGCTAATTTTAAAAAATTTTTTGTAGAGAGAGGTTCTTGCTGTGTTGCCCAGGCTAGTCTCAAATTCCTGACCTCAAGTGATCCTCCTGCCTTGAGCTCCCAGAGTTCTGTAATTACAGGCATGAACCACTACACCTAGCCTAGGCAATTCCTTTTTTTTTTTTTTTGAGACTGAGTCTCACTCTATTGCCCAGGATGGAGTGCAGTGGCACTATCTCAGCTCACTGCAACCTCCACCTCCCATGTTCAAGCGATTATTCTGCCTCAGCCTCCCGAGTAGCTGGGATTATAGGCACCCGCCACCACGCCCGGCTAATTTTTGTATTTTTAGTAGAGACGAGGTTTCACCGTGTTGACCAGGCTGGTCTCGAACTCCTGATCTCAAGTGATCCACCTGCCTCAGCCTCCCAAAGTGCTGGGATTACAGGCATGAGCCACCATGCCTGGCCAAGGCAATTCTTATAGGGAATTTTGCTGCAGAGGAGAGCAAAGAAAAAAGATGGTAATTGTTTGAGTAAGTGAGATTAAAAGAGGAGTGTTTTGATTTTTTTTTAATAGGAAAAATGTATCTTGTTTATATCCTGATATGAATGATCCAGTACAGAATAAAAAATTGATATAGGAGTAGGAGGGGTGAACAGCTTCCCTTCAGTAGACAAGAAAATAATGATCTAACATATACATGGAGGGATTTGTTTTACAAAGGACCCCAAAAGATTCCTTATGGTAGCAGGCAGGAAGGTGATATATATGTACGTATGCTGGTAAGTAGGATACATGTGGTAATGAGAATCTGAAATTCTTTTCTGGTTGCTTCAGTTTTCTTTTCTTTTCTTTTCTTTTTTTTTTTCTCTTTTCCTTAGAGGCAGGGTCTCACTCTGTCCCCCAAGCTGAAGCGCAGTGGCACAACCATGGCTCACTACAGGCTCTGCCTCCCAGGGCTCAGGCGATCCTCCCACCTCAGCCTCTCAAGTAGATGGGACTATAGGCATGCACTACCATGCCCAGCTTCATATATGTATATGTGTGTGTGTGTATATACACGTGTGTGTGTGTGTGTGTATATATATATATATATATAGAGAGAGAGAGAGAGGGATGGAGTTTCGCCTTTGTCACCCAGGCTTGAGTGCAGTGGTGTGCTCTTGGCTCACTGCAACCTCTGCCTCCTGGGTTAAAGCAGTTGTCCTGCTTCAGCCACCCAAGTAGCTGGGATTACGGGCATGCGCCACCATGCCCAGCTAATTTCTGTGTGTGTTTTTTCTTTCTTTCTTTCTTTTTTTTTTTTTTTGAGATGGAGTCTCACTCTGTCGCCCAGGCTCTAGTGCAGTGGTGCAATCTTGGCTCACTGCAAGCTCTGCCTCCCAGGTTCACGCCATTCTCCTGCCTCAGCCTCCCAAGTAGCTGGGACTACAGGTGCCTGCCACCACACCCGGCTAATTTTTTGTGTTTTTAGTAGAGACAGGGTTTCACCATGTTAGGCAGGATGGTCTCGATCTCCCGACCTCGTGATCCACCCACCTTGGCCTCCCAAAGTCCTGGGATTACAGGTGTGAGCCACCGCTCCTGGCACCCAGCAAATTTTTGCACTGTTTTATACAGATGGGATTTCACCGTGTTGCCCAGGCTGGCAGTTTTCTTAGTGTAGTTGAAAGCAAGATCTTTAGCTGATAGTGAAGAATGGGAAGGATTCGTTGGGGGTTTGAGGTCAGAGGAAAAAGTGAGAAATAGTTGTCTAGGCCAGGGGAAGTGAATGGATTTTATTGCACTCTAACCTCAGCAGTGTTCTCAAGGAACTGAAGATTGAGATTTGAGAATGAAGTTATGCTCTATTCAAGTTAATGAGAATTTATTCACTGCCTTCCATGTAACAGGCACCATAAGTAGGTCTTAGAAATACAGGCTGCTCTATCTGGGTTAATGAGAATTTATTCACTGCCTTCCATGTGTAACAGGCACCATAAGTAGGTCTTAGAACACAGGCCGTATGGATGGCTCAAGCCTGTAAATCCATGTCTCTTGGGAGGCCGAGACGGTGGATCACGAGGTCAGGAGATCGAGACCATCCTAAGCACGGTGAAACTCCGTCTCTACTAAAAAAATACAAAAAAGCTAGCTGCTGAGGGTATGGCTTTTTCCGTAGTCCCAGCTACTCGGGAGGCTAAGGCAGGAGAATATGTGATCCTGGGAGGCGGAGCTTGCAGTGAGCTGAGATCCGCCACTGCACTCCAGCCTGGGCAACAGAGCGAGACTCCGTCTCTAAAAAAAAAAAAAAAAAAAAAAAAAAAGAAATACAAAGATGAGTGACCTGTGTTGAAAAGATTCATTAGCTTTACAGAAAACCTCTAGATATGAATAGCTGAATACCTGCCTTGATGAGGTAGACTGGAACTATTTGTGAATAACTTGCTATATCCTAGGCTGTTTGCACATGAGGATGTAAAAGAAACTTACGACATCTTTGAAGTTACTACAGACCAACAAAATAATGCTGCTCTGTGAAGAGGGCTTGTATTTATAAGGTGAATTAAGAGGACTCTTTTTTTTTTTCCAGCTTGTGGTTACTGGGATGAGAAACCACCCTATGAATTTGCCAGTGCAACTGGCTGCAAGCGCCTGTGTATTTAACTTAACCAAGCAGGATCTTGCTGCAGGAATGCCTGTCCGACTCCTGGCTGATGTGACCCATTTGCTGCTCAAAGCCATGGAACATTTTCCCAATCACCAGCAGGTAAGCCTATGTGAATTCCTTTTTAAATAGTCCTTGTAGTGTCTTCTACTCATCTCCGACAGTTTAATAGTTTAATAGACCAAGTTTAATAGACCAAGGCTTCAAATTCAAATGCCTTTGGAGGCTGTGGTATGACTGAGTGTAAGAAAACAGAGAAGTGGACACCAAAGTAGTATATTCCGTGCCTAAAATCACCTAAATCCATTTATTGGGGGACCTAGTACAAGCCATATAAAACTCATCTTCCTCCTAGATCTTGAGTTTGTGATCATTTCAACAGATAGGCACAGAGGATCTCTTCTGGGCTAGGCACTATCAAATGCTGGGATACAGAAATGATTAAGACATGTCTTTTCCATTTCTAGCAGTATGGTAGAAGGTGTAACCTGTCAGGATGAATACTAAAAATGTTGCTTAAATTTTTTTTGTTTAAAGCGGAGTCTTGCTCTGTTGCCAGGCCGGAGTGCAGTGGCGCGATCTCAGCTCACTGCAACCTCCGCCTCCCGGGTTCAAGCGATTCTCCTGCCTCAGCCTCCCAAGTAGCTGGGATTACAGGCGTGTGCCACCACACCCAGCTCATTTTTGTATTTTTAGTAGAGACGAGGTTTCAACATGTTGGCCAGGATGGTCTCAATCTCTTGTCTTTGTGATCTGCCCACCTCAGCCTACGAAAATGCTGGGATTACAGGCGTGAGCCTGCTCACCCAGCCCTGAAAATTTTTTTTTTAGGTCATTTGAAATTGACCATTGAGTTGGCAAGTTAGTAAAAAATACTCAGAGGCCCAAAACCAAGTAAAAATGGCAAACCACATTGGTGAGTGGATCATTAAAGCCGGCTTCCCTCATTGAGAGCAGTTGCCAAACTAGATGAAATTTAGGCTTTGATTGTCATGGCCTCTGGAAGCCCATCAGACAGAAGACTCCTAGTATAAAGCTATGACTTCCTCCCCAAAGATACATTCTTATTAAAAAGGAGCTATAAATAAGTCTGCCTATGGTAGAGAAACAACAAAAGAATAAGCCCAAAGAAAGTAGAAGGAAGGAATAACAAAGATGAAAGTAAAAATTAATAAAGTAAAAAACATACCATTATTTTAGAGAGGATCAATAATTCCAAGAATTGATTCTTCGAACATATTTAATAATATTGAAAACTCATTGGCAAAGTTGATCAGGGAAAAATGAGAAAGGATGCATATAAAATAAATAAGGTTAGGAAATGGGGTGGGGGAAATGGGAAGTCACTATATTGGGTATTGAGTTTCCTTCTAGGGTGATGAAAATGTTTGGGATGATTAAATTGTGATGGTCGCACAACTCTGTAACTATACTAGAATCCATCAAATTGTACACTTTAAATAGGTGAATTGTATGGTACATGAACTGTATCTCAATAAAGCTGTTATATATTTTTAAAAACAATGTTCACAGTAGGCCGGGCATGGTGGCTCACGCCTGTAATCCCAGCACTTTGGGAGGCCGAAGTAGGAGGATCACTTGAGCCCAGGAGTTCAAGACCAACCTGCGCAACATAGTGAGGCCCTGTCTCTACAAATAATAAAAAAATTAGCCTGGCATGGTGGCACACATCTGTGGTCCCAACTACTCAGGAGCCTAAAGAGTACATGCCTAAAAGCATTTAAATCCATATGTGGAGGAATTGTTTGAGCCAAGCACTCAAGGCTGCAGTGAGCTGTGATTCAGCCACTGCACTCCAGTCTGTGCAACAGAGCAAGACCTTGTCTCAAAACAAACAAACAAACGAAAAAGAATGTTCGAGCCGGGCGTGGTGGCTCACGCCTGTAATCCCAGCACTTTGGGAGGCCGAGGCGGGCAGATCACATGAGGTCAGGAGTTCGAGACCTGCCTGACCAACATGGAGAAACCTCTACTAAAAATACAAAATTATCCGGGTGTGGTGGCACACGCCTATAATCCCAGCTACTCTGGAGACTGAGGCAGGAGAAGGGAGGGGAGAACCTCCCTTGAACTTGGGAGGAGGAGGTTGCAGTGAGCCAAGATTGCACCATTGAACTCCAGCTTGGGCAACAAGAGCGAAACTCCATCTCAAAAAAAAAAAGAAGTTCACAGTAGCACTGTGTAACTGTGTATAATGATAACAAATTGGAAACACCAAACACCAAATGTCCATCAGCCTGTGTTTAGTCACACATCAGAATACTTAAAAGCAGTGAATGATGAATGAATTACAATTCCAGATGACAACCTTGATCAATCTCAATTACAAGTTGGATATTAAAAATGCAGAAGAGTACATACATGTGATTCAATTTACTTGCAGTTCAGAAACTTGCAAAACTATATGGCACATTATTTAGGAATATAAATACATATTTTGATAAAAAGCAAGGGACTGTTAAACACAAAATTTAGACTAGTAGTTCCTCTGAGGGGAAATGAGAGGGAAAAGAGGCGGCCAAATGGGGCTTGCTAGTAGTACTATTGGTAATAGATTCTTTTTCTGAAACTGAGTGGTAGGTACACCTACACAGTGGTAGTATTCACTGTATTCTTTTTCCTTACACTCTTGCTACTCGAAGTGTGTTCTGCTAACCAGCTGTGTTGGCATCCCCTACAAGCTTGTTAGTAAGGCAGAATCTCGAGATCCCAGACTTACAGAATCATTTTATAAAAATCTCCAAGTGATTTGTGTACACATTAAAGTTTGAGAAGCACTGCCTTATGCCTACATATATTTTGTAAATTTTTTTTTGTATTTCTTATTTAGTAAAAACATTTAAAAACAATTCAATTAAAAAAAAAAAAACAACCCTGGGAACTCACCTATTAGTTGGAAATGCAAATACGGTAAACTATTACGTAAATTAACTTCAGCTGTTTTAACTAAGTGCTACAGAAACTTGAGAATGATCAATTCTGCCACCTGGATTGGTGTATGGACAAAGGTACCAGGCAGGATATCAAAGGGGAAGTGACATTGACTCACATCTTGAAAAATGAAAAAGATTTCCCATGGAGAAAAGCAGAAAAACAGTGGACCTATATGTGAATGTGCAGGCATTCCAGGAAGGGCAAGTTGCGTGTGACTGGAGTGTAGGAAGGGCAGTGTAGGATGAGGCCAGTGATGACCAGATTAGAGCCAGATTTGATGAATGCCAGCACAGGAAATTTTGATTCCACATTGAATTCCTTAAAAACAAACCAAAAAAAAAATTTAAAGAAAATTCCTGAATACTTGCATAGTTCAGATTGTAGCCCCCAAAATCAAAACTCTAGCTGGGCGGAAATTGAAGACTACAGCAGAAGTCTTCCTCTTTTCCATTTCTGCCTCTGGTGCTTTTCAAGTGCAGTCGGTGAAATTTATCTTCTGTTATTAATTTACTCATTAGTTCAGTTAAGCTTAGCGCTTTGTTGAATTCAGAGTGTGTGCACCTGTGCTGAGTTCTAAGCATTCAGATATAGGAACACATAATGTAGCATAGTGTAGCAAGTACTGAGAGAAACAAGTGCTGTTGGGAGCTCAGGAGGGGCACTTAGTACAATTTGAAAATTAGAGGCTGTACACTGTGGCTTGCCTTTAATCCCAGCACTTTGGGAGGCTGAAGCAAGAGGATCACTTGAGCACCAGGAGTTTGAACCTGCAGTGAGCTATGATTGTGCCGCTGCATTCCAGCCTGGGTGACAGAGCGAGACCCTGTCTCAAAAACAAACAAGCAAAAAACATTAAGAAGTCTTCCTCAATGAGGTAATATCTCTGCCCTGAGTTGAATTGTGAAGGAAAATTAAGCGTTTTCCAGCTAATAGAACAGAAGGGATGGGCTTTCTAAGCGGAGGTAATTAGAATAGCATTATTGCCTTTCTTACTTCTATGGATCCTGTACAAATTATTGTGTTTATTTGGGAGGAGAAAAATGGTGAAGGAGGAAAGTTATGCCACTAATCAATCTGCCAGATTATGATTCATATTTTAGGGGAGGTAAATGGATCCTCAAGCAGAGTCTGTCCTAGCACCTTGACCATCTGAGATGAATATAAAACTTCCTGAGAAACAAATTACACTTGTACCTAACCCATTCCGTATCATTCACCTGGGATTTACTACCACTTTGCCTTTTCTCTGCCATTTCTTCTATTATGTAATCTTTCTACATCTTCCATGAAGCAAATAGGGTGTTCATTTTATATCTGTTTTTCTATTTCTTGACTAGCTGTATATATCCCATTAATCTGACTTTTGCCTTCTATGATTGAATTCCCTACATTAAGTCTTCTTTAGGTAAGAAATCTTCCAGTTGTACACTAAAGCCTTTAAAAAATATCAAGCCATGTGTCCAAATAAAAAAAAATTGGTAGTATATATATACTATGACTTTTTTTTTTTAAGCCCAGACTTATTTTCTTATTTTGCTTCACAGGAATAACTTGAATCACCTTTCTATTATGATGGTGCACCTTGACTGTGTCAAGTAATTATTCATGTTTTCATTTACTCTTGTTTAATTGTGCTGGTCTAAACTTTGTTTGAAAGATAGAGCCAAGTCTATCAGTCACTCTTTAGAAGCCAATGTGTAGAACACTACCCCCCGTGTACTCTATGTTAGAGTCCTCCAAGCAGGCTCGTCTATATTCTTTGATTCTATGTCAACAGGTAAAACTTTCAGCCACTGTTTTTGTCATTCTCTGTACCTCAAAAAATACAGAAGACAAGGTTACTTCATAGGCCACCAGAAACAAGGAGATTAGTTGTAGTTATCCTATTTATTGCCCTATTTCTCATCTAATGGAAAAGGAAAAAAAAAAAAGGTACAAGTAAACTTGTATGGGTCTCCTGGAAGTCAGCCTTTCAATACTAGGGGGGCAGATAAAGGTTGTAAGAAATAACTGGTGTTTCATCAGTCTTCTTTATATGTATATATATATAAACTACCTTGGTTCAAAGATAACAAAGTGATATTTTATTTAGGATTTTTTTTCTTCCTTTGATTTTTTAGTTACAGAAGAATTGCCTCCTTTCACTTTGCAGTGACCGGATCCTTCAAGATGTTCCGTTTAACAGGCAAGTGATAGTTCTAGAACTTAATGTGGGGCAAAACAGAATGTTAGAAATCTGTCTTGGATCATTTCTTACCCTTTAGGATATCTCTTTTATGAGATTAATTGAGTAGATAGAATTGAGGGTTATTTTGTAGAATGCTAAATCTACTTTCTTTAATTTAGTGCTTTGACATTCATGATAGCAAATTGACCCATGTTTTCATAGTCCTTTGCTTAGGAATTTATATTGGTTATAGTTTTCAAGATATCCACATAATATTGTAAGCTATGAGCATTATTATCCCCATTCAAAAGATAAAAAAACTAAGACATATATAGAGATTGTCTTGACTATGGCTTTGTGACTAATAACTGCAAGGTTAGAGAGATGCAGGTCTGGCTGGATGCAGTGGCTCACGCCTATAATCCCAACACTTTGGGAGGCCAAGGCGGGAGTATCCCCAGGTCAGGAGTTCGAGACCAGCCTGGTGAAACCCTGTCTCTACTAAAGATACAAAAAAATTAGCCGGGTGTGGTGGTGCACGCCTGTAATCCCAGCTACTCGGGAGACTGGGGCAGGAGAATCACTTGAACCCGGGAGGTGGAGGTTGCAGTGAGCCAAAATCACGCCATTGCACTCCAGCCTGGGTGACAGGGCAAGATTCTGTCTCAAAAAAAAAAAAAAAAAGACGTAGGTCTTCTAATTCTAGGTCCAGTGTTTTTTCTTTTTTTTTCTTTTTCTTTTTTGGTAACATATCTCTTATTATTATCATTATTTGGTATTGAATTATGGAAGAAACTTTTTAAGGAGCAGTTAAGGGAGGCCATATAACTAGATTCCATTAAATATTAAGGGGACTTTTATTTTCTAAGATGTTATTTTGGAGCCTAAAAAGTGTTTTTTTATTTTACTATTTTAAAACATAATTTTTCTTTTTCTTTTTTTTGAGACAGGGTCTCACTCTGTCACCCAGGCTGGAGTGCAGTGGTGCAATCTGAGCTCACTGCAACCTCCTCCTCCTGGTTTTAAGTGATTCTCCTACCTCAGCTAACTGAGTAGCTGGGACTATAGGCATGTGCCACCACGCTGGGCCAATTTTTGTATTTTTTGGCACAGTCAAGATTTCACCATGTTGGCCAGGCAGGTCTCAAACTCCTGACCTCAAGTGATCCACCCGCCTCGGTCTCCCAAAGTGCTGGGATTACAGGTATGAGCCACCATGCCTGGTCTTAAAATATAATTTTTTCATGATGGCATTTTGAAAAGGAAATTTATACCTCATTGTTTAATGAAAAGTATGTTTCTCAAGCAGCAATTTCATTTTTTTTGAGATAGAGTTTCACTCTTGTTGCCCAGGCTGGAGTATAATGGTGCAGTCTCAGCTCACTGCAACCTCTGCCATCCGGGTTCAAGCGATTCTCCTGCTTTAGCCTCCCAAATAGCTGAGATTACAGGCATGTGCCATCATACCCAGCTAATTTTTGTATTTTTGGTAGAGATGGGGTTTCACCTTGTTGGCCAGGCTGGTCTCGAACTCCTGACCTCAGCTGATCCACCCACCTCAGCCTCCCAAAGTGCTGGGATTACAGGCATAAGCCCCCACGCCTGGCCTTCAAGCAGCAATTTTACTGTGATTTTTTTTTTGAAATAAGCAATTTGGATGAAAATATAACTACATATGTCTCATGTAGGTTGCTAATTTTATTTTGGAAATATTGAACCTCTGTGTTCATCATTGTAACAAAGTCTAGGTAGGAAAGACATAGTCACTCTCCTAAAGATTATATTCTACTCCTTAATGTTTATTCTTAAAGGGCTAGATTATAAATATTCTAGGCCTATGGGCTATAGAGTCTCTGTTGCAGCTATTTAACTCTGCTGTTGTCCCTCAAAAGCAGCCATAGGTAATATATAAACAAATGGATATTGCTGTGTTCCAACAGAACTTTACAAAACAGGCAGCCAGATCCACAGGCTGTATAGTTTGCCTACCTCTCATCTAGCAAATGTACTGTGCTAGAATTGACCTTCTTTGTGGTCAGAGGCTATGATTGGTTCATCACTTTGTCTCTAGTGCCTGGGTAGATATTTAATGGATTGATGGATGAATGAGTGAATGAATATTACATGAGACAGAATTTTTCATAGAAGAGGTGTTAATGAAATGCATTGGGCCCCCACACAAGGAAGGAAAGATTCTGTCTGACTGATGATCATTAAGGATTTCATGTTTGTTATGGCACTTGAGATAAAAATGGTAAAAACTAATATGTATGAAGCACTTACTACTGCCAGGCAGGCGTTGTGCCAAAGTGTTTTATGTATGCTTATTCAGTCCTCAGAACAATCCTGTGAAATCATTACTCTTATGATCTTCATTTTTCAGATGAGGAAATAGAGTCACAGAAAGGATTAATAACTTGCCTGAGGTAATAAGATAGTAAGTAGCAGAGTCTAGATTTAAATTCAGTCTGACTCCAGGTCCTCCATTTTTTCATCCATGCTATGTTGCTTTGAAGATGAGAGCTGGTTGAATTGTTTCACGGGTATGAGCCACCACGCCCAGCCTGGAATCAGTTTTTATTACTATTTTACAGATAAGAATATTGAAGTTCACAGAGGTTAAGGAATTTGGTCAGAGTCCCAAAGTTAGGCCAGGTGCATGGCTCATGCATGTAATCCCAGCACTTTGTGAGGCCAAGACAAGTGGATCACTTGAGGTCAGGAGCTGTAGAGCAGCCTGGCCAACATGGTGAAACGCTGTCTCTACTGAAAATACAAAAAATTAGCCAGGTGTGATGGCGGCTCCTAGCTACTCAGGAGGCTGAGGCAGGAGAATCGCTTGAACCCAGGAGACAGAGGTTGCAGGGAGCCAAGATTGTGCCACTGCACCCCAGCCTGGGCAACAAGACTGAAACTCCTTCTCAAAAACAAACAAAAAGCTGATATTTGAATCCAGGCTAACTCCAAAGTGTATGATGTTCTTAACAACTTGACTACATTGCCTCACATGATAAAATAATTTATTTTATGGTTATCATTAACATTAAGTAGGACTAGAATTCAAACCCAGAACTGACTGGAGAATCTCTACACTTTACCACTAGCCTGTGTTACCTCATACTTGTGGGCATGTGTGAAGACTAATGAACAATCCACTTTGCAGAACGCATAGGGTAGGCAGGAAAAAAGCTTGATACGGCCCCACGCTAAAGTCCTAGAATGCTGTGAGTACGGGAGTGACATCATACTTAAGTCCTCAGGGAGGTTTATTTGTTTCCTTCCTTCCTTCCTTCCTTCCTTCCTTCCTTCCTTCCTTCCTTC